TGAATACATTTATCGCAATTCATCCATTAGCTGTTAAGATATTTAAGTCTGGAACAAAGTGGTCTACCAAAATTGCTATTCCAAGTTCCAGGGTTGCAGCTGTGAACAAATACACTCTTCATTTAAACAGATTTCCTTTTGGGGACATACTGACTGTACCTACACATTTTTAATGTCGGAAGCCATAATTACAAATCAGAATACTCTATGCGATAACATACGTTATTTTACTTTCAGCACTGTTCACGGGTACACGGTGAGTACGGCAAGAGAAAAAGTTAAACTTCCTTTAATTACAACAAACCAAAACAAGGGAGATGAACATATACACACTGTTTGTTCAAGCTCAGTGTTCTTCATCTACAGTGTGGCTACAGCTCTCTTACCTCTCCATCTCCACCACTGGCTGTCACTTGGCTCCACATCATCTGGGTGGGTGCATGCTACTGCTCATGACTGTGTTTGACATGCTGTTGCGTCTGATATAGTCTGAGCCATAATCCAACAGTGCTGCTTCCAACTTCTCTCACGTTCATACACAGAGAAAGCAAGAAGAGGAAGATACATAGAGCACCAAATAGGTTGACTGACATACTGTTGGTCATACACAAACATATTGTTTTAGTGCCATATGCTATATGTAACCAGGGTAAATAACAATCCCAGCTTCAAAAAGAGAATAGTGGGGTCTTTATTTCCAAAAATGCAGATACTGCACCGAATAACTGTGACCTATCAGTGCCCACCTAAATGTTCACCCCTACTAAACAAATACAGCAGTGGCACATCCAGCTCAAGGATCGAATTTAAATCTACATGCATTAGCGACTCGTTGACATACGCATCCATTCCCATCCCAAGCAATGCGTTTATTTTCTTCCGGTATTTCCCAGCATACATTGGTCTTTTCCATAACCCCCCAAAACTGAGGCCATCTACTGTTCAAAATGTGCAACTACAGCAGAAAATAACAGCTATTTTGTTTACCGGGTTACATTTATGATGGTTGAAAGTGTCTGTTCCCATCTGTTCCCCATTTCTATCCCCGCTACTGTCTCCAGAGAAGGTGTTCAATGAATGTAGACAGAGAGACTTTTCTTAACCTCCATTATAATAAACACATCATACGAGCCTCAATAAACAGTGGCCACAAAAAAAGTGGACAAAAAAGGGGGGAAAAGCGGTATGTCCAATTCTCTTTTTGTAAGACTACTTATTTTAGGCTTTTTTAAAGTCTAAACAAAACCAACAAATAAAAGCATGAGTTAAATCTCAACAAAATCTTTACAGCCTGATTAAAGAAGTGAAAAGATAACACAGTGGAGCATTTAGCAGCTGTAGTCCAAATTTGATAAAGAAAACATATGCCCATTTTGTCTTTAGCTTCTTAGGTTGCCTACAGAGATCAAAAAAGATCAATTAATTCTGCTTTAAATTCTTACCATACCTTGAGTGAGACCTCCCAACTTCAACCCATCATAATGTAACTTGTGGTCATTCACAACCTGCATGATGTGCAAGGGCCTGACTGGCCAAGAACAGTCAAGGACAAGCTTCAGGGAACAGATAACTGTTGTGTCTGCAGCAACAAGGAGCACATCTTAGATGCAAGTAAAGGGAGAGAAGCCAACGTCTCACAATGTAGTATTTCCGATGTCTTATGAAGCATCTTAAGACACAACTGCAGAACATCACTGCAATATGATGTACTGCATGGGAAACTAGAATTACAGCTTCACAGTTGTATGCCTCCCCCAACTAGTCAAATTCATGGGTATGGGACAGAAGCAAGGTCACTGACACAACCACCAAATATCAAATCAGTTCATTCTTGAGTCCCAGTGGACACTTGTGAATTTGAAGAAAATCCCTCAAGGTGTTCATGGCATTTCGCAATCATACGGAAGGAGAGACCAAAAATTAGAAATTCATTTCTAACATTCATTTTTTGCCTCCTGTTTGCTGAATTTGGCTGATAGTGTGTGGTTTGTGGTCTGATCCAAACAAAATTGCACTAACTGCTAAAATAAAGAGGGGGTGACAATTTCCCTTTGCCTACAGGATCAAGAGCATCATTTACAGTGGGGAACTACTCAATGGTACATATCAAGACGTGGCTTCCCAGGACTCTTCTCTCCTAGTTCTTTTATTTATATACTGCGTGTGTCTGTGTGTAATCACAAAGCTACCAGCCAGAGCAGAAGTATTGATTTTCCTCCAGGAGTTTCTTGGGCTTGTACTGGTGGTGGGACACCTAAGCTTAACTCACACACTACACAACAGTCACTGCAGTGATTCATCCCTCAGATATATTCGCTGTTTGCTCTAACTGTTTTCACATAAACACAATTCACCTTTCGGCAACTTTTTTTTTAGGCAATAAACAGTTTTTTACAGAAGAAAAAGTTCCTATCTATATGTTTGGTTGCCTAAATAAAATTGATAAGCCATGAAATGTTCTGAAAAACAACATCAGAAGCTGGATTTGGTTGTTGAGCTTGGTGAAAGAAGATGAGAATATGAGCATCGATATCCCTTCTACTCCTCCCCTCTGATTCTGAATGTTCCTTTCTCACCAAGTTAGTGTGTTGCTGCTCCCAGCCCCCTGTGGCCTCATTATCACATAGACTAAAGTACAGCAGCAATATCTGACAGCAAGTGCAAGCAACAGTGCACATACACAACCTTAGATAGCCTTGTTTTCATCCAAAACAGATTATTGCTTTTACACACGTGACTCAGTAAGGTTCCCACCCAAAATCAGAATAAAATCATGAAATAAACACACCCGATGACCATGCACACATATCCACACACCTGCAAATACCTGTGCTTTAGCTACATCTTACATATACAAACAGAACAATGCTGTTTATACACCTTTTTCACACATTTGAAAATTAGAACTTACATAATACACAAACCTGATACCGTTCAAATCGGGAAACACAAACATCACACACAGACACATTTCATGTTTAAATTAAACTGTTTTGGTCTGATTAAGCAGACAGTTCCACTTCCTGTTTAAAGCACTGAGTGATGCTACTTTTTGCTGTTTGTCCTGCTGGGCCTTACAGTCCCATTGCTGAACATAAAATATTCCTCAGTTGCAGTATTTCATTCTTTTGATGCACATCAACACCAAGCAAATAAGACAACAGCACATCTTGCCACAGTGACATGCATCGGTTCACAGACGCTCATGGGCGGACCCAGGGTCTGTGCCACCCCTCACCACTACCAGAATGTGACTGGCCACCCTTGGTGACACCAAAACTAGAGTGAAAATGTGACCCTTCTTCAATGTGGCTTTTCTCAAATCTAAGCCCTTTTTACATAAAACTGGCTAACTGCTGATCAGTCTGACAAGTTACAGTAAGAAAGGTGAGACTGGAGCATGACTGCGCTAAAATGGAAGAGTGATCCCTCTCCCTGTCTCTCTATCCCTGCATGTTTCTGTGCCTTATATTCGGTCTGTTCACCATGTTTTCCTTTTTTCTTCTCTTGGCAATTTCTTGTTCTCCCACAGAAGCAGCCATCTGCCAAAATGACTTCCCTCATTCTTTAAACAAGGCCCTTGCACAATCTGAAAGGGAGAGGAGGGGACTGGGAGATTGGCAGACAAAAGTAGAGAGAGAGAGAAGCACAAACAAGTGTAGAAGGTGGAGGAGTCCTTGAGGTAAGTTGCTGGATAAGATGGCAAGGTCAAGGATACATGGCTGCCATTATGTTATGATAAAGACGTCCCGTTTGCTTTATTTCTCCTCCTGTCTTTTCGTCTCCTTTGCTTCCAAATGCCAGAGCAAGACCCTCCGAAACAAACTCCCTCGCTGGAACATCAGCAGCCCATCTGTCTCAGAGTCATACTCACACATTCGTACACCAACTCTCATGTGCCCCTTCTCACTACAACACAGTCACACAGAGTGTACATTACCTTCATCCAGCCTGCTGAGGAGAGAAATGAGGAAGGGAATACTTTCTGTAGGGTGTGTATTTATAGTACAAATGGCAGACTGCTGAGACACATTCACTCCACTATCTTGGACTGAAAGAAAGAACCCATTATAACAATGTCACAGTTGATTCTGTCATGTATTCTACCAAGTCCCAAAGCTAAAAGAACTGAATCTTAAATCAACCTTCTTCAGGATCCCACTACATAAATAAAGCCCTGTCTCAAAAACAAAAAGCATCATTCCTAATATTAAGAGAAGTATCTTTATCATTTGGGTTGAGTATACATGCTGGGTAATTTTGTTGTCTAAATCTCAAGATAAAATCCATGGGACCCAAGTCTCTGCAGCAGTGCAGAAGCCTCTCACGTTGAATCCAAGATAACAGACAAACTGAGGGTGAGAGCAGATGGTAAACGGAGGCTCGTTCGAGAGCAGCCTGTTCACTGTGACATTACTAAAAATGAAATCAAATGCACACATAGTAAACTTTTAAAATGTATGTAGATGATATATACAAACCTGCAAACCAACCTTCTCTATACCCTTAGACACACACACACAATCAAGGCACGCAGGCCTCCACTGTCAAAGCCATGTGACATCAACGTGGCAGCTGGAACACAGGAAGAGGAGGGTACAACAGGACATGCTGGGTCACCTGCAAAACATTCTCAATTCAAATCATCCAAGTAGTCTTAGGTTATGGCCCATTAAGAGTCTGTAGTTTATTTCTCAGGCAGTAATAGTCCAGCATTTTGTGCAAGTGCTGCTGTCTTTATTTCTTTGGAAGAACATCTGTACATCTTAATTTCAACATGACGCTATCAACTATCACAAGAAAGCCTGCTAAGCTAAAATTTGAGCTGATATTTGAGGTAATAGAGAATGTGAAGCTGTCATCAAGCCGTTTTGAATTATGGGTAAATGTACAGTTTCAGAATATCACACATCCATCTGTAAGTTAATACAAAAATAAATACTATCCCATACAGCTACATACAGTAATAGATACTTCAACTACATCCAAATGTCCACTTTAGTGCTCAGTTTGAGCACAGGACAGAAACTGAGACATCTGCAGTGTTTGTGTTATCTCCCGACAGCTGCTAGCTAGCGCTAGCTCCTGAATCAAGAGCTGAGTGGAGCCGAGTTCAGGGTATAGAATAATTTTTCAGTCTGTCACTCTCATCGTCCAGATCTCTAGGTCTGCTACAAGTTACAGTAGCTACAGACAGCTAAGGTTATCCATTCTGAATTACAACAGTGGAGTGAGATTTAAACAATTTAAGCAATGTTTTAGCCAAACAAAACAAGAATTTATGCAGGTAAACACAGCACCTGAATGTAGCATGTTAACTATTTAAGTACTGGCATTGTTTTATGACAAAGTCAGACTAGTCAAGAACTAGAGCTGCAAACTGGCAAAGTGAGGTCATGGAAGATAAGAACATCAGTTAAGTTAGTTCTTTAGTTGTCATTCTGCCTGTGTCTCCATGCTCATGTCCAACAGAAGCCTATGAAGTTCCTGGGGGTCGGTGACAGGAAGAGAGCAAGTAAAGTCCTGGCAGACATAGGCTGTGGCGACACCACCCTGCTGAGACATGGAGGAAAGGACGGGCAGACGCTGGCACAGGAAGCTGTCTGCACTGCCATCAATGTGCATCAAGACCTGCCGAAGAGAGAGGGAGGGGAGAAAATGAGAAAAGAAAGAAATGAAAAAAGGGGATGGTAAAAAAAAAAAAAAAGTAATTTCTCCTGTTTTTTTTCCTCATCTACTGCCTGGAAGAACAAAACAAGCGAAAGGCTTTCATATAACAAAAACATAATTAATACTGCTGATAAACAGGTAAATAAAATGTAGTGTATACAGAAATATTAGGCTTTATACTTTTCCTTCATTATTAATGATAAATTCAAACCTTTCTTTCACATTTATATTTACCTTTAACTTTCTTTTTTTCTCCACAAAGTTAGCTAGCTAATGCAAATTAGACATTCTTAGATTTGTTTGACTTATGAGGAACACACATCAAATCGCACATCCACAAAATGTAAAGAACATCTCAATGTACAAAGTACAAAACTGTGCTCCTTGATAAAGACATGAGACAAACACTAAAAGGTGAAAACAATGTCCTAAAGACAGAAGCACGATATCTGTGAACCTCTAATTAGCATTAGACAGCCAAGATTATTAATGTTAGCCTCCTAGCTAAAATGCGTTGATGGTTGTTGGAAGAGTCTGTAAAGTGATGCTACAATACTAGCGTGTGGTACGTCAGTGGAGGAATAACATGCACACTGGCTGCTATAGTTTGATAAAGAAAGCTGGCGCCAGCAAGGCAGCAGGCTGGAAAAGCTGATCCTGTGTTTAGCCACTAATGTTTTGAGTTAACAAGCCATGCTGTGCTCTTGATTGCTCCAAGATATTACATTATAACCCCGCCCCTCACACACTCACACACACACACACACACACACACACATAGAGGTATGTTTCTGTAACTTCTGAGGACGTTACATGGACTATTTCTTGGAGATTAGCCTAACCTTAACCTTAATTCCTCATCCTAACATTGAGTGATTTATGTTTTGGGGAAAGGAAGTCGTCTCCCCATAATGTGACTGTGTAGACAGATTTATGTCCTGACAACATAAATAATACTAGCCCACACACAGAAACACACCACCACCCTGAGGCAACCCCCCATCCCCACGTTATTATATTAGCATCAATTGGAAACACTGCAAGGAGAAAATCGGAACTAGATATGATTAAATTCACTAAGACCACAAAAATAAAAAATGAAAAGAAGTAATTTAAATAAAAGAACAAAACAAATGTATTTTATCAACTGATTAGTCTGGAAGGGGGAAAAGCATTTTGTTGTCAGTTCTGGGGGCTCCATATGACAAACACACTTCGTTTTATATTAGTTTACTTCCTACAGTTGTTACTGTATGGCCAGACTAATTTGCATGCATTTGGGTTTCAATAAATAGAATGGAGATACAAGACATACTATATTTTTAAATGGGTCATGACTACATCTGGAAATAGTTTGAGAGTCTGGCTTGTCAATTTTGTTTCTTTTCTTTGTATGGCAGCAGCCCAGACACCAAGGAAGAATGTTAACACCAGGGGGACGGCAATCAGTGTTCACATCTTAAAACATTTTTACACACAAACCATCAGAGTATTATTTTTAACAGAAATCACATTCTATTTTTATTAATTACTCCAAGTAACTTCTCATACACATACCCATACAGGGTGGCAATTTAGAATTGCCAGTCTCCTCACAGCAAGTGGGTTCTACTCTCATGGCCAAGCGGGGGGGACTTTCTGTGTGGACTCTGCATGTTCCCTGGGAGTTTTCTCACACAGTCCAAAGACATGCAGGTTAGGCTGACTGGCAATCCTAAATTGCCCAGGTGGGTAGATGTAAATGAGAGTGTGAGTGGTTGTCTGTTTCTATGTGTCATCATCTTCATCATCATCAACCTTTATTTAATGAGGAAAAACCAGCTGAGAGCAAAATCTCATTTTCACTGGTGCCCTGACATCAAATAAAATCAGTATTAAGAACCCAACATCACCAGTCACACATTAAAACAATAAAATATTAAAAACAATAATAATAATAAAATCATAAAAAACAGTATCCAGATCACCTGTTACACACACAATTAAACTATAAAGTACAATATAAAAGCAGTTTAAATTGAGAATATGCAAACTATTCCATAGTAACAGAAGGACATCTTTTCTACTTCTGTTTCAGCAAAAAGGGGCTGCAGAAGAAGATAATCTTGTGAACGGGTCTGATACGTTGATGATTTATAACTCTGAAGGCATGTAATATATTCAGGGAACTTATAAATTAACATACAATGATGCTCTGTTCTCAATGTCAAAGATGGCCAACCTACTTTCTGATATAATTCACAAGGAATCTCCAGTAACAAATGTAGTAACAGCATGATACAGTGAGTCAAGTGGTTTCAGGGTTTTGGCAGAGGCACGCATATAAATTATATCACCAGTCTATTACAGATAAAATTGTTGCTTGCACCAGCTGCCATCTGTGACACTCATTACAGTAAAATCTGTTTCAACAGAGAAATAAAAGTCTAAGCTTAAGCGAAGCAATTAAACCCTTAATATCCAATTTCAAACTCAGCTTGTCAAGATATTTACACACAAAGACTTTGTCAATGACAGCACCATTCAATGTAACTGTATTTAAATCAAAATGGTCAATTTGACATCATTTTCTAGTATAGAGAATATACTTTGTTTTACAGGAATTTAATGTTAAAGATCAAGAAAATGATTCTGAACAATGTTAAAATCAGACTGCAAATGCTGGAAAGCCTGATCAATGGGAGGGGCCACTGTATAAATGACCATGTTATCTGCATAAATGTACAGTACTGCTGCTTACTTTGGATCCTAGATCATTAATAAAAACAGAGAATATGATAACTGTTGCCCTGACGAAAGCCTCACACTTTCTGTAACCTATCTAGAAGCCCTAATAATAAACACTAGCGGTAAGATTGTGCATCCTGCCATGAGGCTTATCTCCGGTTGCTGCCAAGCTGTAGTACTCTGCTATTGTGAAACATATAGAGATCTTGAAAATATTTTCTCATTAGACATTTAACTAAGTCTGGTACTTTAAAATAAGATGGCGCTTCCCACAGCTATGTAGTATGGAACCAAAGGCATTAACTAGATCAAAGAACACCACATGCACCTCTTTGCTGACAGAATTTGATGCCACATCATGCTTGTGTGCTCCAAGCATCCAGAAAAACCTGGTATTCCGGCTTTCTGCACTGAGGTGTCAATGAGCTTATTCCTTTCTAAATAGCTCGACGACCTTTGGGCCACTACTCTGAAGAAAATCTTCTACATTCAGAAGGCAAGTAGGCCTAAACTGCCATACTTCAACTGAATCTTTCTCCTTGGGAATAAAAATCTCTCCTGCTCTTCTCCATGACTTAGGAACAAGCTGCTTCTTCCATGCTACTCTGATAACGCTACTTTGATAAGCCTTCACAAAAACCTCAACACATCTGGGGCGTATTTATATTGCTTATAGGGCACACCATTAGGCCCAGGGGCTGATCCTGCTCTTGCTCGTCTAATTACCATTTTCACTTCTCTCAGTGTTGGAGCTTTGGTGTTCACAGGCTGTTCTACTGCCCCAATGGGGGGCACATTTACTAGCAGACTTAGATTCCTGCTCCTATCTTTATCTGCATGCATTTTTTATAAGCAACTACTCAGTCATGGTCAGTAGCTGCCCATGCCCACAACAGAGGAAAGACAATTGTGTGTGTGGTTCCCAAATACACTACAACACCAGTTTTGCACTGTCAGTACAAAAAAAAAAAAAAAAACAGTTAAATATATTAATTTATTGACAAGTGTGTTAGTGTGGCTCACAGTGAAAGGAAAGAGGATGGAAAGACATCTGTTTCTGTTGGTGTATGTGTGTGTGTGCTAATGCTATCAGACAGACAGCAGAGCAAAGTTAAAGAGAGGTGCCCTCCCCATCCCTAAGGCAGCTTCCTGTCACACACATGTCATTTCGTCCTGGCCCAGAACCACCCCTGGTTCACAACGGAGCAAGAAATGACACTAAGCACAGACAGAAGTGATGAAAGGAGGGAAAGAAGGAAGAAGACAGAAAGACAGAATGAGTAGAGGTTGGTGATACATATCTTCCCAGGTGAAACCCTGCCAGAAAAGACTGATATGTATGTCATTGTAAGATAGACTGAGGGTCAGTCAGAATGCAAAAGAAAAGGTACACAAATTATCCATCGTTTCAACACAGTTTGCAATATACACACTTAAAACTACTGTACATGACAGCTGTACGAAGACTCGAAATAATTGTGACACAGGATCTCTTAAAAAACCTTCATTGTGTCCATATGTGAAGAGTTATAATTCTAGCACTGGGGCTCAAAGTTTTGAGATGTCAATGAACTAAAGAAGAAAGTCTGTTTGCAGTCTTCCTCCTTTAAGTGATTAAGACTTCCAGGTCTACATGCATCAGCACAAAATTAATGGGACTGAGCTGATTTTTCACTTGATCATTGTGTGAATGCTACCAAGCTAACGTTAACACGATTTTCAAATCACTGCTCTGCCCATGTACAGCCTCACAAAATATCTAGTGTGGCTGTCACTATTTCATTTATTTCTTAAAGTAAGGTACTGTAAAGAAACACTTTGGTAAACCTAGGTTTTGTTTTGAATATTTTATTAACCAATCCAGTTCTAGAGTAGCAAGCAATGTGTATGTGGGTACACAAAAGGCTCTAAGACTTGGTAACTTGCTCCACTCAGACATTTAAACGCTCATTGGTGATGGTAGCCAGTTGCACTCCTAATGCCAACAACCTATCAATGCCCGTCTCCTGCCAATGAAGACTGTCTTGGCAGTGGTAAGATATTTCTGTTTCTATCAATGTGGCGCTTGATAAATAAAATTCCTCCGTAGGGAATGATGAAGTGCTTTATCTTATCTTGTTTCCTCCACTGATGCTGACAAAACTGTGTGACACAGCTCAGAGTGTAAATAACCACAGCAAACTATGGATCACACTGAGCACTGTCAAGGCTTGTCTGTAAACAGTTTTTAGTCT